ATAAGTTAGCTTCGGCAATAACTAAATCTGGCGCCTCTCACATACAAGATTGGGACCCAACGATTGAAGATTGCTGTTGGCCAGCCACACCGAGAGAAAATGCTTAGAACAGTAGTTAATGGGTTGAATACCGTGCGGTCTGTGTTAGAATCCTGTGCCTTGTAAAAAAATACAGATAAACGTAACATAGTCAAGAGTATCAAAGCCAATAGGTGAAAACAGAAAATAACTCTTGGTAAACTGCTCTCTCTCTCTCATTTCCCGCATTGGTAACCGCTTTTCCTGTTCTATTTTCGTTTTGGCTTTGGCGCTATGCTTGTTATCAAGACGATGTACAGGTGCATCAAGAATTCTCGTACAGCAAATAGTCAGATCTCGAAATAGCCCAAATCGAATTCGCAGTCTCACAACAGCAAACAACTAGGATTTAAAAATTACTGATCGCGCAGATTTCCGTTTAGGTTGAACCAAGCTCTGGTGTAGTATTGATTGATCGTGTCACGTAGACTGTCCCGAGGACATCTATTTGCGTTGCAGTTAACACATAGATGCCTGCACGCTTGCACCTATCGAAGGGAGGCTGTGCACGTATGCGCGTGTGCACCAGAGCTGAATTCACGCTACGCAGAACTCTATGCAAATGAGTCTTAAACTTTAGCTGCTGGTTGTATCTGAATTAGTGAAACTGAGACTTCCACTTGGGACATTTGAAAATTTGACTATCTAGGATATGAGAATTCCTGACGTACCTGTATATATGCATGTCTCGTCAGCAACAGCAGTGTGAAAAGTGATGATAGTTACAGTTCACCTAATTTCATTCGTTTCTCATCGCACTGCAAGTCGGATTGTCTCAGTCTGGCTGGTTAATGAATTTCCATCTGCCTAATGGCATTCTAGATACTGGATGCGCCTTTGGCCACAATCAGTATTGACAACCCCGGTAACCATTGCATTGTTCTTAGCAGAGCAAAACAATACGCACGACGAATAGATCGTTATGGAGAGACAGAGGTGATTTACCTTTGCTACAAATTATTTTCTAGAGTTCGAATCGATAGGATCCTCTCTCCCCTGTCTGTCTCAAAGCAAATCTATTGAGCTATTGGTTGTCCTCAAAGATTAGTCTCATCGGCCGTTCGAAAATCGTGTTCGGAACAAACATCATTTCCGTTCACTGCATCAATCGTTGCACATTGACCAATCTAAGCGCAGTGTTCAGATAACTCACTTTGCCTTGCCAATTGTTCCAGGGTCAATGCAGATTTGTGATGCTCATTCTCGTACTACTTTTACCAACTGTCTAACCTGATGAGAGTCTTCCGATCGGGTATCATGGTTGGAACGGTGGTGGCCAAGTGGTTAGGTCACCAATTTGTACCCTGGGCGTCCCGGGTTCGAGCCGTTCCACCACAGCCCGTCTTCCCTATATCTGTGTTTGCCCAGGCTTCGTTTGTACGGCCGCGACCCCCCTTCCTGAATGTTGACTGTACATTAGAATATGAAATAAATAAAAAAAGGGAAGTAGAAAGACATTTATAAGACAAAATCAAGACGGGCGGTAACATTCAGTGCGTTTCATTGCTTGTCGCCCCTTAGTCACTCTGGACGAGTTAGCATCAATGGAGACGCGTGTAAATGCATTTGCTTGGTTGAAAAATTAATGCCTAAAGTAGTGAAAGTCATAATTATTCTTCCGATTCAATTGTTCTTACTGGGATTTCATTTTTTCTTCACGTTATCAATCTTAACCATGCTCGAGTCCCAATTTTAATTTTATTTTGTCACCCGGTGTTAGGGTCCAAACTAATACTAGGAATTTCACTTGAATTGTCCATTGTTTAAGCAATGTGATTTACGAACTATAAAAGTGCAGTTGGCATTTCTTCTATCCCAAACCGCGCCTGGGTGGCTTACTGGTCATTGCAATACGCTAATAGTGATTGGTTAAACAAACTGGACATGCCTTTAGCTGAAAATATATAAAAGCAAATTTTTGCGGGCATTATGTCGACGTTTGTCTGAACCGAGTTGTCCGTGTAATTCGCCTACTATTTTTGCCTATTGTGTTTGGTTTCAAGGACACGATGCAGGTAAGTTCGCAAGGGATTCACCACTAGGTCACAACACCGCTTAGATTTCTAGGTTGCCCTATGGAACACAGATCTTTCTATCATATAAGCAAGTTCGATTGAAACCGATAGCTTCAGTTCTCAATCGGATGAACTGGTTCATCGATCCGCCTTAAACCAGGACACCTGTCTATATTTAAACAGCAACGAACCAAGTGACTGTGACCCGTCTTACCTGCTCACTCAGCCGCGTTCGGTTGATTGTATATTAAATGCATTTACCGCGCGTCCCGAACTCCCGTGTATCATATATTCTACCCCCACCTATCCGTTTAGTGTGAACCTATTTCCTTACTCTGTCTTACCTCCCTTCCCCCTCCCCGCCGGATTGTATTCCCCCTGCAGCCGAATTCCAACGTGCCGTTAAGGCATGCACCGGATTCGAGTTGTCCGTCGATCTCCTACGAACAGTGTTCACCCTGTTCGACATGGATGGCGACGGTCGCCTCAGCTATCAAGAGTTCATCCAAATCATGCGCGAACGACATGCTCGTCGAACTCAGGTAAGTTGATTGGATCACATGTGTTTGTGAGGTTGTTTGGTCTGGTGGTCAGTGAATGGGTTGTATTGATTTACTGTTCATTTTTTGTTGTTCTTATTGCTGTGAAAAATACTCTTTATGTGGATTAGTCTGATTTCACAGGGGGGGGAGGGGGATCACACGAATAGCGTTTCCACGATAACTGCTGTTCGTGCCTGCTCTCATCCATTTCACGGTCCACCCCGTCCAATAAGGTATACGTCTTGCTTCTGTGCATGATTAATTGCATCATGTATTTGGTCACGATTAAGTAACTCATGTCCTTCGCAATACGATCCTTTTTGAATGTTATTCTCGTTCGAAGTCAAACTATGAGTACACTCTACCCGGATGCTCTTCAGTTCAAAGTTGAAGTATTCCGAGTAAAAACGAAATATAAATTAATAAAATGCAAATAATCCGACCAAATCACTAGAACGATTTTCAGGGAACACACAAAAATAATAAAAGTTATTGGCCATATTCAGTACACACTAGTCATACGGATTGGTCCAGTATGACGAAAATGAGTAATATCTGAGAAACGTATAAAGACCAATTGACAATCCGGCGGTTGAACACCATCAATGCGGAGTGGTGAGAACGGTTCGTGCCACGATTTATAGCCTGGCCACATCGGGTTTGCGAGAGCAACTATTGCAATTTGGCAAAGTATATCGATCTGGTTGCACTATTCCATTCGTTATGCACAAAAATTCGACAATCACATCGCATCTGTGATTGACATCATGCGTACTCAGTGGTGTTTTGAACTACGATCGTATCTGAATAACTGGTAATCTCTCCGGATTATACGCAGATTTCGAGACCAAACAAATCGTTTCTTTTTTTTGATTGCTAGAACCTTTTTAAGCTATTGGTTTTTACCTCTCTCTCTCTCTGTTAGTATTTGGTCTGAGTCGTAATCTAGAACTATGGTCAAACAAAACATGCCTTTTACTTTTCTGAATGCCAATCAAAGGAACTATATGGCAGCTGTTTGGTAGATCATCAAACACTCATTGCTCTCACTTCCATTGTTTCAAAGTGATTGGAATGAGAACTTGCCAGATTAGCATTCCGCGTGCAGCGTAAGATGACTATTCAAAGTTGGAAACAGTTCGTGTCTGTCTATGCGTGCATTCGCCCCCCCCCCCC